GGGGGGGGGGGGGGGGGGGGGGGACAGAGGGATCAGTATAATGCACGCGTGAGGCGCTAGCCCAGCCGCAGGTGGTGCGCGCATGAAAACACGCGGCCAAGAGAAACGACTGCCCGCAAAGTACTTTGGGTCACTAGGCAGCCGGGGAATAGGACGACAGATTGCGCTGGGCTCTGCGCGCGCGCACCTGCGGCGTTGGCCCAGTCTGGCAGCTCGCTGGGCAGTGTGCGGTCCAGTATCCAGGGCAGGCACTGCACCACGTGCTGCGCCGCGCCCACGCCCTGGTGGCCGTCGCACACCATGAACAGCGAGTGGCATCGGCCGGGGGCCGGCTCCACCTGGTTCACAAACAGCACGTCCTGGGAGCGCGGGGGGCAGCAGGAGGGGGGCGCGGCACCCGGGATCAGGGCCAAGGCAGCCAGGCAGACGAGCACGTAGATGAGCGTGTTGAGCTATGCAGGCGCCTGCATGTATGGCCGATGAACGGCCAGGGGGACAGCCTTTCCAGTGCGCGGAGGCGGCCCATTGGACGACCGCCGGGGTGCAGCCGTGACCGAGCGACCAGGTGTAGCTGGGCCAGCGCCACTGCAAGCCTGGCCACGCCAGCCCCTTTGATTCGAAGGGGCGTGAGCTGGTGGTGTCATCTCACCTCGGACTTGAGCATGCGCTGCTCGTGGGCAAAGCTGAGGTGGGGCAGGCTGGAGGGCGGGTAGGGCGCGCCACCCCCTGCGGCCACGTCTACAGTTGCTGCGCTAGCGTCCGCCGGTCCAGCCCACGTCGCCTTGAGCGGCACTTGCTGGGCGGCTGCACCTGCCTCTGGGACGCTCCTGAGTGACGTCATAGTCACGGGGTGGCTCTGCTGCTCCACCACTACTGACATGCCACCTGCGCGCCACGCAAGTGACGCCGCCAGATGGGCCGCACAGTGGGTGTGGTGCTAGCGACATTTGCACTCTTGGCCGCAACGCAAGGGGCATGGCAAGTCTGACTGCTCGTTGCGCATCGCAGGCCTGATTGTCAGTACAACGTCCTAGCAGCTGCGCATCTACCCCCTCAGCCAGGCCGCACCGTTGAGTGCAGAGCAGCGTGCCATTGGCTGGGCAATGTAACCCAACATACAAACGCGAGCGCGCATGCACCTCGTTTGACGGGGGCTTTACCTACAGTCTCCTGCGTGAGTTGATGTCAAGACCGGGCCCAATTTGGGGCACGGCAGCGGTCGCCAGGCGCTCCGCCGCCACCGCAAGCCCTCGGTCGGCTTCCGCAAATCTGCTGGAGCGGGGGGCTTGCATGTCTCAGTGTGGGGACAGCTTCAAGAAGCACAAGCTGCCGGGCCCTGTGCTAGGATGAGCTTCATGCGCTTGCACACCCTAGGCACGAGCGCCGCCTGTGCTGTCAGGGGCGTTCGCCAATGCTCGCAGGCCGCGGCTGCTATGTGAGGCGGGCGCAGTGATACCCTGATGTGCATCTCCCATTGGTTGCCGCGGGTTCACCTGTAAAAGCGCGGGCAGGACGCACTCACGCTGCCCTCGCCTGCTGCCCAAAGTCCCGCGCTGGGTGCCCTGTGCACGTTACAATGCGTGAAATATTTCGAACACAGATAAACCTAGGAAGGCTAGCCCTGGGCCGCCGAGGCGCGTCACGTGGTGATCAGTGATGGGCTATCATGTGTCGCCTCATCTATCGACGGATGTAGCCACAAATATTTCACGAAGTGGGCTTGAATGTGGCTGCGAATGGGCGCAGATGGGCCGTCATGCTGGACCAACGGCAATCCGCCGCGCACAGTGACAGCCAAGGCTACGGACGGGCAGGGGCCCACTGACACGAGGCCTGAGTCCTCGACGTTGTCATAGGCAACCAATGGCGCATGGCCTCTTTTTGTATCATCAACCCCTTGCTTGGTTTGATGCGTCTCAAACATCTCAAGAATACCGTCCAGGCAACCGCAACAAGGGCCGAGGCACGGTGGGCTGCGCGTTAGCCCACCCACACTTGCTGCAGGGTCATGCAACATCGAGCATGGGGCGACGGCTTCATTGAATGTGAATGTTTGCTCCGGTACCCGAAAGCATCCACCCCAGCCCACATCTTTGGCACAAACGTCTGCCATGCGACCCCAGCCTGGCATGCGTGCAAAGCAACAGTGACATATGGGGCCAGTCACTCACCCCGACAGGGTCGGGCGGTGGGTTCAGGCAGCTGACACCAACAAGACTGGGGCAATTGCAGTTGCCCGCAATCACCGACCAGCCAGGGCATACACCAGGACCACGTGCACGGTGATACCTGGTGAGCAAGAGCGCGTCGGAGCATGGCTAGAGGACCTATGCAGCACTGATCGATGCCGTGTGTGTTGGTTTGTAAGGTTGAGTGGCAGCTAGTAGCTTTTCTACATGAATGAGGCCGTTATGCTGGAGCTCAAGCCACTGAGACCCCCCCTTTAGGCAAGCTGGATTTTCTGTTGAATACACCTGCTGAGATGCCTAGACACTTTTAGGGGTGTTGACGTCCCGCCACACTCAGCCACGGTTGCTAGGATGGGTGTGTAGTACCTTATGACTTTCACACCTCAAAACCTTCCAACGCGCACGCACCGTAGCACAGGCGATGAGTTATGCTCAATGTGGGAGCTGAATTTCGCATGTATATGAGTACTAGTACTCATAGGACCAGTGGTGTGTCAGATCAATATCAATGACGGTGACATGAGGCGTATGGGATGCGCAACTGGACTTCATTCCTCGGTTCACATTGTGGCCTTCTTGTAGCAAGGGTTGTGCAACACCAGTATCGCTTTGACCCTAGACAGCCTCGTCCTGACCAGCAGCACCTGTGTGGCTGCGGTCCGCATTGGCATCAACATGCTCGACATTATCGCACCTCGCTCAATATCACAGCTCAAATCTCACAGGGTGATGTGGTGTTTTAGGTCTGCCTTGCATTCGCCCGCAGGGCAACAGCGTGACATCACCATGCTCCCTGCTGTCACTACCTTCGCCTGCCCGATACCTATGCAGTTGTGATGTGCGCGTGTTTATACACTCACCTCTTGGGGGATGCCTCCTCGTCGCGCACGCACACTTGTATTGTAAGCACGTTGGCAGGGTACGGTACCCTGTATCTGATCCCACTCCGTGGACAGGCTCCATTTCATCAATCGCACACATGAATTGAGTATAAACACGTACTATTCCAGGTTGATTTTGATTGCGAAACACCACAGACCACACCAAACCCCTGGGCAGCACTATCTTAAAGGCCCTTAGTGGGGTACAATTTGTAAATATAGCAGCGGGTTCCATGGACGCCACCGCAGCTGAACCAGCACCCTCGCTGGTCGATACTGCAGCTAGGGGCGGTGCAGCGCCCGTGCTTTCAACCACCACAGCAGCAGGCAGCGCGCCCTGGATCCTGGGCACCGTTGAGGCCCTCGCCGGCATCAAACATGTGCGCAGGACAGAGGCCACAGAGAAGCTCGAAGCCTCTTAGGTGGCAAACCGGCATGGGACTCGGAATCGCGTAGTCCTCCTGTGCATGTGGCGAATGTGCGCTGTGTGGTGGGAACGGGCACTCACAAGGTGGCGCCACTCGTCACCTTGCATCACACTGCCCCCCGGTTGGACATGCTGTGGCGGTGCTCTTTCAGGCGCTGATGCACGTGGATCGGCGCTGTAAGATGGGCATCAGCTTTTGGCCCTCGATGTCGTTCAAATCAGGGCGGCCCGGGCAGGTGTGAAGCACAGCTGAGCAGCTGCCGTGTGGGACATGGGCATGTCCCCGGACCTGTCAATTGCATGACGGCATTTGTTCTGCCAGGGCGAGCGTGCTGGACGGGGGGAGGGGGTATGAGCTTGCAAATGTTTGGGGGCTGCGGGGCTCGCAGTTTCACAAGTCACAAGGGCTGGGGTCCAGGTGCATGCTGATGAGTCACGTTACAATCTCATAATGGTGAACATCAAACTCTTATGCACAACATTCATGCGCATGCATGTAACGCGTCGCGCTTTGTGCCTGGCAGCCTGGTGCAGCGCGCCTCCTGCTGCCAGGCGACCCCTGGCTCGTGGGCGCTGCCCCCGTGGGTGCCGCAGCTGCAGAGGGCGCATCAACCGCGGATGCCACGGCCCAGCCTGCAGCTGACGCCGCCTCTGCTGCACCAGCTGGCCGCAACCACAGCGGCAGCGGAACCGCCCTCAGCAGCCCTGCAGCGGCCGCGGCTGCATTGGCTGCGGGGCGGCGGCTGCTGTACGTTGACTTCACAAAGGACCCTCCCGACGAGTTCCAAGTGGGCGCCCAGTTCATGTGTGGCCTGACCTTCCCCTTCATTTCCATACGCACAACGCGGCTCGCGGTGCGGGGCGGCGGCGAGTCGTCACTGCGGGATAGGGAATGGGCGGGACCCAGCAGCAACCGTGACACTTCCACAGCTGGGGGTGTGGGGTGTGCTCCGTCAGGCAGGCAGCCCTTATTGCTACTTCCTCCCTTGCTATCTCGCAGCTTTTCAGCATGTGCACACATGCACACATCCCTACCTGGTTGCATGCATGCATGCACGCACGTGGGCACACATGTGCAGGCGCACACATGCGCTCGCACATGTGTCGACAAAAGTGCGCGATGCTTTGGCCCCCTCAATTTTTTCGTCTGCCCACCTCTTCTCACATACCCACATTATAACACCATGTTGATCACCCATGAGGCAAATTGCATCCGCTCCTTTTACACACACACACACACACACACACACACACACACACACACCAAGATAACCATACCCTGCCTCCCACCCCACATACACGCCGCCTGCTTGGTACCCAGGGTATAGTTGACGCTGACTCGGGGGAGGTGTCGCTGGAGTTTGTGTCCGAGTTTCTGGCACAGGTGGGAGGGGGTTGAAGACGAGGAGGGCAGGGAAGCTGGCCATTGCTGTGGCATCCTGGGGTAGCAGCAGGCACGAACGCTTTCCGCAGCGTGCTGTGGCCCTGTGATACAAGCGAGACGCACCACATGTACAGACGGTTCGATGCGCCCTGTCCTTCTCCCTGCAAACCAGACTGGCAACAGGAAGCCAACCGTCCTGCAGGTGGGGTGTGACCTCACCACAGAGTCCACCGAGGTGCTGGGCAAGACCATCGCTGGCGAGAGGCTCAAGGACGGCCGCTGCACGTGAGCGTCTGCGATTATCCTGCCGCGCAGAGCGCTCAGTGGTTGTGTTTGTTGCAGTCCTCTTGCATTTCCTGTGCACAACAGCTCCTATACGTGCATTCCCCGTTCAATTGTGACACCCACGACATCAGCCTTCCCGCGTGCTTCCTGCCCTTGCTCCACATCGCAGCCTGATCGCCCATGCCCTCGTGCCCAAGACCAATAGCTGGTTCGCAAACGTCATCCTCTGGCTGCCCGCAGCAGCGCGGGCCTGGCTGCCCATGCGGCTGGAGTTCCTCCCGGAAGGCAGCCCCGCAGCCGGCGCTGCACCCACTGGTCTTGTGGGCGCCAGCGAGGCGGATACAACTGACGCCGCTGACGGTGCAATACCGCGGGCGGGGGTGCCGGGTGCTGCGTGAGCCTTGCGGCAGCTGCAGGGTCAAAAGCAGAGAGAGGGATGTATGTTAGCTGCTTGGCACCCTGCAGCGCAACTGGGCATCATGAAACGTGATTTGAAGCAGTGTCTGTTGCGTCATTCTGCCTTGACCTCCAGCCTCGCGTGTGATCCAATGCACTATTTGATCAGTCCCCAACCAGTGCGCAGCGTGCCCATGTGATCTGCATTGAGCAACTTGGCCAGTACCGCAGCTCAGCGTCTTTGCGCAGCGCATGGAAGTTGAACCATGCTGACCTTGGTGGCCATTCCTTAGGTTACAGTGTGCTGCAGAGCTCAACGCGAACGGAAGTACAGCATAAAATGACGCATGTGACAGCCTGCATAGTGGTGGGTGTACCTCTCAGCAGGGGTAGCAGCTACAGCAGCAGCAGCAGCAGCAGCAGTACAGTCTTCCCTCGCTACAGTGAATTCATCGGGGGTCGGCGGCACGTTCGCCATAGCCGGCTTGTTCGCTATCACAAAAAGTGGAATTGGGCATCTGCTGATATTGGGGGGAGCGGCGGCGTTCGCTGTCGGCAGGGTTTTTGCTATGGCGGGGTTCGCTGTAGCGGGGGAAGACTGTAGCAGCAGCAGCAGCAGCCTGTTTTGGTTGCTGAGCTGGAGCCGCGCCTTTCAGCCTCAAATCAGCACGGCAGCGCTGCCATGCGCGCAGCAGCGGCAAACGGCCACAGCAAGGAGCTCTATGCCCCCGCCCATTCTGTAGTGTAGCAGCGGCGTGCGGGACACCACGTGGCGGCAGCCTCTGCTGGTCCCATGCCACTGCTGACCCTGGCATGCTGCCACGCAGCAGCGATAGAGAGGGGGACGACAGCACTGGCGGCTCTGACGAGGGTGCATGAGCCTGTTCATGGCCTGCAGGAGGTAGCGATGACAATTTGACCGCGCTGTGCGCTGATATACGTAATAGGTTTGATGAGGGAAGCTGTAGCAGTTCACTGCTGGGACGATAGCTTCTTACCTCCGGTGGCAGGCAGTACAATGCCCTGTCAGTGAGTGCGTGTTGAATTCAAAAGGTGGCGCCCCAGCAGACCCATATTTTGCGCTTGCGCCTGCAGAGTGTCACTGGACTGCTTGTGTAAATTTGGGTAAGGGTGCCTGCAGCTTGGACATTCCAATGTACGATTACACCTGGATTGTGCGACATCGCCCCAACCAGGTGTACCAGAGAATTGGTTGACTTGGTTGAAAATAAATCATGTCATGATACCATTTTATTTTCGACCCAAAAATACAGAGGAAGAACACTGCGGCACACAATGCACTGCCCGCTGGGCAACAGCTCCCCTTGGACCCCCGATGACAAGCTTGGGGTTGCACAAGCCAGGCCATGGGACCTAGCACGGGGGCCACGGGCGCTAATCCGAGTCACCATCTGGGACGTCGGGGTGCCGCCGCTCAAGGTTCTCAGCCTCCTCCGCTTCCCTGCAGGAGCAAAGGGTTGATGGTTGTAGCGTGAGCGAGTATCGGGGTTTTGTTGACGGGGTGGCGATGGATGACGGACATGGCTGGTTGCACGCAGATGTCCAGACGGGCGCTTCGCATGCGCCAGCTGCCCGCACGTGGCCATCAAGCCCACGCGTTATCAATGCTGCCGTGCCAAAGCAATTGACGTGGCAGCCGATGAAGCAAAACGCTACCCCTACTCACGTGAGCTCGCGGTGCATGATGGCCACCTTGGCGGGGATGGGGTCGTCCTCCGCCTTGCGCTTGCGCTTGCGGCAGCGCAGCTGGCAGAGAGGAGAGTTGGAAAGCAGACAAGTGTACGGCGGAGAAGAGAGTGATGTGGTGTTTATGCCATCAACAGCGTCAAGTTGGTGACATTGCTTTCATTATTCAAACTTCGATGCAATAGTCACAGACGAAACGCGAGGCATGTGCGCACAGGGGTGTTGAAGTGCCAGTTTGAGGTGGCCCACTGCAGCTAGCCCCTGACCTTTGTTGCAAAGAGTGAGTAGGTGACCTTGTCGTCCTCACGGCGCAGCAGGTAAGAGTCCTAGTCAAAGGAAGACGGAATGCAGGTTGGGTGGCTGAGATTGCATGGGCATCGATTGTGAGTAGGGCGTTGCTGATTCATACGGCAGGTGTGGCTGTGGAGGAACGCGATCACGGTGGCAACGTGAAACTTGAGCACGATGCAGGACCTTGTGGGCTTGCCCTGTGTACAATAAAGCTTCGACTCTGACAACAGCGGAGGCGCCGCACAAAATGCATGTTCACCTGCGCCTCCTCCTCCTGATTGGCCTCCCCTGGTCGCCGCTGCAGGGCCGGTCAACGGGCGGGCATGGGCTTGTGAGGAGGTCAACACGGGCCAGATGGCAGCAGCATCGCTGCGTAGGCCGAGCATGGTCACTGCCAGCCCCAGGCAGCAGTGCCATCCACAGAGACCCAACATGCGGCTGCAGAATGGCAGCAATCCGTGACCGCGCTATGGCATCACGGCAGCAGCCCCGGCGCCGCCTACCAGCTGGTTCCAGGCGTACTCCTGGTCCCACATGTAGTCACCCTCAAGCTCCTCCGCCTCCTGCTCCGCTGGCAGCCCTGCCGCGTCACCCGCGCGCGCTGCCTGCGAGAGGGGGTCAAGGCCGCCGCTAGGAGAGGGACAATGGACGCCTGACACTCACGAGTACTCTTCCCATCGCAAAGGCAAACCACAGCGGCGGTGCGTGGCAGTGGCATCAGCGCGCCGCGTGACGGTCTTGGCGTGTGGTATCTGCGGTAGAGCGCCAGCAGAGTAGCCAACCCCAAAACATGTGCCCCAATCGCCAGGCCGCACCTTCAGGCCAGCCAATGGCACCAGTAGCGCCAGCGCAGGCACCTGCGCGGCGCCCTCGCCCTGCGCCAGGTTGTACGACTTGAGCATGGTCCTGTCCGCCAGGGCGCGCCGCAGCTTGGGGTCAGGGACTGAGGCCAGGGCGCCGTCCGTGGTGGGCTCCTCGTCAAACAGGACCTTGGGGATGACGAGAGGTTGAGCGTGTGGCATGCCGGGCGCACAAGCGTTACACGATTACGTATGTGCATGCAGCGCTCTGATTTGGTGGTGCGTGTGCATGCAGCGCTCTGTTTTGGTGGTGCGTGCAAGTCAGAGAAAGAGAGAGGGAGTGTGTGTGTGCGTTCTTGATCAAAGGCGCCCCCCCCCTTGAACAAAGGCGTTCATGTGCCCTGTTGGGGGACATGCAAAACGCATACGCGGCCTGTCGTGGCAGCCTGCAGTTCAATGTTGTACCTGGATGTACTTGTGGGGCCACCGCTCCAGGTCTGGCAGTACGGGCAGCACCTCTGTGGCCACCACCCCACGCTTGCGGGGGTGCTGCAGGATTGGCTGCTGCGCTGCTGCAAAGGAGGCCTGGAGGACAGGGGCGGGTGCGGGGCAGGCGACGTAAATTTTGGCGCTGCCTTGTCACTGAAACATCCAGTCATGATAAAAAGATGTGTGCAAACGGGGGGCAAGCTGGTGGTGACTGGCCCTCAGCTGTCCATGTGTGGCATCGAGCCTCTACCTCGAACCACTCATCAGCTTGCCCACCTCAATCTCCCTGATCTGCCCGTCCCGTGTCCGCCATTCGTCATCCGCCGCCGCCTGCGCCGCCGCTGCTGCCCGCCGCGCCGCCACACCCCCTGCCGCTTCCTGGTCTGCTGCAGAAATGTAGGTTGTCCGCATCAGCCATGACACCTTTAGTTGTTGTGTTGGGTCAGTTAGGCAGGGATGTTTGTTTTGACCACCGCAGGTTGGCAGAGCTAGGGCCGACGCGCCGCTGTAGGATGCGGAGAGTGAAAGGTGTAGAATGATGTGCAAGGGCACTTCAACGCATGCCAGGGCCCGTGGTGGTTATAGTGCATGCGCTAGACGCCTTCAAAACCCGCTCATACGTCCACCACCTGTTGGGAGGCAGCCTCATGCAGCACCCCACCCACCTCCACAGCCTTTCCAGCAAACCGCTTGGGCTTTGCTGGCGACGGCCCTTGCCCCGGCATCCGGATTTCGCCCTGCGCACAGAGCGGGGCCGAAGCGTGCACAACAGAGCGGCGTCGCGCATACTCATTGCGACAGGCGCCCCACAGGAGTGCGTCGGCTGCACGGTGAACGATGCAGCAGCAAGCCTCGTCACACGGACGCAAATGCCCACCTGCAGCAGCGCCGCATCCCGGGGGTCCAACGCCACTTGCTGCCCCTGTGTGCATGGGCCAGGCAACAGCGGCGGGTTCTTCAGCCGTTGTGCAAACCCGTCAGCATACACAGGCATGCAGTCAGCACAGACGCAGCTTCCTTGCCGCATGCCCCGCCCCCTCTGCGCCGCCTGCAAGACTGCGACATGCGCAGCAGCCGCTTACGTCTGCAGGCGCGGTGTAGCGATCCGCATTAAGCGGCGTGACGGGTATCCCCAGGTCAGCCGGCAGCAGCAGGTCTCGCAACGTCTGGCGCTCCAGTGACGTCACCGAGAACGCGCCCAGCGCCTCTGGCTCCGGGCGCGTCAGCAGCAGCTTGGGGTCTGACGTGTCAGACAAGCAGGCAGAGCGTTCGCAAAGCGCTGGCAGTATTAGTAGGCTGTAAGTGTGGGGATGCCTCTGCTGCACAATAGGGCCCATGCCTTCCTCCTCAACTGCCCTCTCAACCACGCACCGCCCTCTCACCCGCGGGAATTTCAGGCAGGTCGTTCTTGAACCTGATGTTGCAGATAAATGGCGTGTCCCGCCGCAACCGCGATTCTAGCTCGTTCGGACGCCCCGCCACCGCCGCCACTGCTCCTTCCGCCCCTTGTTTGCTGCCGCTGCCGCCTCCGCCTCCCCCAGGTGGCCGCGGCCGCTGCTGGGGCGGTGGCACGGGTCGAGGCCAGCACACGGAGCAATGTTCACAACAGATGTCTGGGGCAGAACGTGCCCGCTTGTGCTGCATCAAGCAGCAGGCAGCATGGGCAGTCGCATGCCGCCAATCATTGCAGCAATGCAGAGGGCAACGCACGTTGCAGCCACCGCTTCGCTCACTTGCCCATGGCCGCTCCCGCCCGGCCGCTGCTGCTTTGCATGCGTTTTGGATGCTACGGGCACGGCTCTGCGCACAGGGCGCAGTCAGCGGTTCGAGTTGGATCATGGGCACTTGTTGGTAGCTGGTCCACCCGCTCCTAATGAGCCAACAGTGGCAGCAGGATGACCAGGCCAGGCCCGGTGGGCGCAAAGTACACGCCGAGCCGCCGAGCGGACGTTTGCTTGGCCCTGAACGTGCTCGCCATGTACACCCGACAAATAAAACCAGAAAGGCCTTCACTCACGGTGCCCTGCTGTGTGGAGGGGCTGGAGGGCCTCCTACTTGTGCCATTGGTCCCCCTCAGGCCGCAGGCTGGCCTCCCCCGGTTCAGGAAGTTTCAAGTTGCGTAATATCTATTACAATCTCCTTTGCTTGTGGGTGCCACGGTAATCCCGATCTGATCAGATCACTCTAGGCTCAGCACACACGACATTGTGATGTTTTAAACTGATTGAAATTACGATCTTGCTTGATGACGCTCATGGTCCCGGTTAAGATGGGTGTGGCCACTTTTTGCATCACCAACAGCAGCAGCAACAGCAGCAGCAGCAGCACCAGCATCATCAACACGACAGCGAAGCTGCACGGATCGCCACCTTCACAATCGATACACGTATATAAACCAGTTTATGCACGTCTCCACGCGTGCGGCCGCCGTTTTTGCGAACGTCCTCCACGCTTTGGTTGACCGCCCTTGCCTCGCTCACGGGCCTGAAGCGAGGGCGCTTTGGCGCCGTGCAAAATAAACACACATAGGGGTGCTCTTAGGCGCCGTACGCATTGCCATGGCCTTCAACCCTCAACTGCAGCACCTCGAGGCGCTCATCATGCACCCCGGCCGCTCTGATGGAGGCGGGAGCGAGCACCACATGGTGCAGCAGGAAGGCGAGGAGGACTGGCCATCGTCACCGTCGGATGACAATTTCAAGGCATGAGCCGCTGCGGCTAGAACGGCCGTGCATGGGTTGGCGCCGCCAAGCGCATGCAGTGCGGTGTGCCGGCAGTGCAGGGGTGCCAGGGAATACACCAGCCCCCTTCAGGCAGCATGGCAGCATGAGGCGGCAGTCTGCTGCTGTGAACCTTTCCAAATCTTGCGATACACAGCATAGAGCAGCTTCGCTGCTCAGGGACTTCATGCGGCAGCCGGAATGCGCAGTTGTGCGTGCCTGCAGCACTTCATTTTGGTCGGCAGGAGCCTCAGCAGCCGCAGTGACCCCCCTCACATGAGGTGGAGCCAACAGTTGTATGTGTTTCAGAAACACCAATCCACCAGAGCGCGGTTGTGGCTAAGATCTTGGCCCTCTCACCTGATGCACACTGACTGTCCGGCCCTCCCTGAAGGTCGTCGTGCGCGTGCGCCCGCCGCTGCCCCGCGAGCTGCGAGGCTTCAGGCCGTATGAGGTGGGACGGCTGCCCCATCCCCTGTGCAACTGGAACACACACCCATTGCGGCGCGTGCAATATGTGCTGCATGTGGCGGCAGAGCACACCTGGACGGTGTGTCCTAGCCCGCACTACGATCCCGCTGAACCCTACAACTGCGCGCGCACCCGCTGCCTTGCCGGCACAAACAGTGCACTGTGCTGGTGGAGCCGCCGAACCACCGGCTGGTGACAATCAGCGAAAACTTACAGGCGGCCATGAGCGGGTCTACTGCGTCAGACGGCATGCTGTACGCTACCTACAGGTGCGGGGGAGGAGGGGGGTTGCAGGGAAAGGATGGGTTGACATCAGGGCCGCCTTAAGCGCGGGGTTCACCATGTGCTGAGGCGTATGCAGTACCTCGTAAGTGGGGCAGGGTGGGCGTGCAGCAAAACACCGTGCATTGCACGGGATGGGCGGTCGTCCTTGGGGTCACCTAATTCCAGTTGGTGGTGCACCCTTGCCTCATGACAGACGCCCTGCCGCCGCTGCCGGCCTGCACCCGAACGCGCCCCTAGGTTCACGTTTGACCACGTGTACGACCAGGACAGCAGCCAGGAGGACGTGTACAACCAGTCTGCACGCCAGCTGGTCCATTCCACTCTGCAGGTGTGCGCAAGCTCACTCCTGGGGGATGGTGCCCGTGTGCCTGGGTCGAGGCGCCACCAGCCAACCAGCAATCGAGCATGCATATGCCATGGCACACTGACGACTGCGGTTTGTCGCTGCGCCGCTGTACCTCTACCTTCAGGGCTACAATGCGGCGATCATCGCCTACGGCCAGACCGGTACTGGCAAGACGTACACCATGGAGGGTGCGGCCCGTGTCAGGGAGGATGAGGGGGTGGCAGGTGGATGCCCCAGCCTGCTCTCCATCCGCAATGGCCTTGCCAGCCGCAGCAGGGGTGCCACTGTACCACTTTGCCAAACAGCACGTTCACCAAAAGTAGGCACTGTGCAAGGCGATTTGCAGGGGCACACAGCAGCTGCATGGCTCATGCACGGAAGCACGCATGTGTGGTGTCATCTGTCTGACATGCTTGTGGCCCACCTTGCCGCTGCTGCGCCCCGTGTTTTGCCAGGGGACCTGGAGGGGCCCCTGAGGGGCATCATCCCGCGCAGCATTGAGGACATCTTCTGCCAAATCCAGAATGACCCAGAGCCCAGCAGCAGGTGCGGACGTGGGGCGACTCTGTGTTGACGCAGCTGGCATGTATTGTGTGCTGACCACTCAGCAAGCATGTCAAGCTGATGCGACTCCACAAATTCAGGCAGAAAGGGTTTACTCCTTCGAGCCCACCGTTGATCACTGGAAGGCCAGCCGCACACGGCCTGATTAGCTGCATCGGGCCCATAATCAATCGCACAACCCGCCCTGCAGGTACCTGGTGCGCCTGAGCTACCTCCAGATCTACAATGAGGTCATCAGCGACCTGCTCAAGCCCGACAGGACAAACCTTGTCATCAGGTGGGTCGCAGAGACACGGCTGGGATGGTAGAAGACAGTGCATGCTCGCCACTGACAGAAGCTAGCTGTGTTGTCTTCTTACGCTGGGCGGTTTGCTCATGCATGCCTTGATGCATGTGCACCAACACCTGTGCAGGGAGGACCGACGCCGCGGCGTTTTCGTCGATGGTTTGAGCGAGTGGGTGGTGCGGTCGCCCCGGGAGGTGTACGAGCTCATGATGCGTGGCGCTGAGCAGGTGCGGGATGCTGCATTCTGATCTGGGATGGTCTGTGTACAGTAGGCGGCTGTGATGCGTTGGCGCTTCCGATTGTGCAGATTGATTGTGAAGCCTCTCAGCTAAGAGGTCTCACGCTGTGTACATGTCGGGCCGAAGTCATGTCTCGCCGAAAGCCTGCACTTGTAAGCGCGCATGCGTGCGCGCGCGCACGCTCACACACACACACACACACACACACACACACACACACACACACACACACACACACACACACACACGTCCGCACCATTTACAGCGTGCGACGGGTGCGACCAAGATGAACGAGGTGTCGTCGCGGTCTCACGCAGTGTGCATCATCATCGTGGAGAAGTGCTCCGGCACTGACACGGAGGCCTCGTCGCCCGGTGGGTGGCCGAACTTGACACCTGCGTTGGGGCCCTTGGTTTTGATCTATGGTGTGCCTGGTAGGGGCTCCACTCTAGGCCAGGTGCCTCACGTGTCCACCCCAGCTGACGTGACATCACCTACCCTCCGCTGCTCACTTTCGCGATAGACGCCCTCATGGGGCGGCCGCCTGCCTGGGCGGCTGGCAGGGGCGGCTCGTCGTCAGCTCTCAGCACGCAGCAGAGCATCAGGGTGAGGAGCCTTACCCTTCCTCAAGCGTTCATGCGGGGTCGATGCCCTCGAGATGGGCCTGCACCGTTCTTGAGCTTTCCCGGGAGCGGTCCCGCAACCTGGCGGGTTGCTGCTTCTGAAAACAAACTTTGCACCTTCCGCGCACCCCCCTCCCTCCCAAGGTGGGCAAGCTGAACCTGGTGGACCTGGCAGGGAGTGAGAGGGTGCACATCACCGGGGCGACCGGCAAGCGCCTGGAGGAGTCAAAGAAGATCAACGCCTCGCTCTCAGCCCTGGGTGCGCGGCCTAGCGGCAGCATCACTCTGGTGACCAGTCCCACAACGCTGCCGGCCGCACTGGGCCTGCTTGTGCTGCTGCAAGCCTCCAGCATGTGGGGCGCGCGGGGCTTTACGCTGAGAATCCCCTCACCACCCCACCCCACCGCGCAGGCAACGTGATTGCTGCTCTGACCGACCGCAAGGACCGGCAGCACATCCCCTACCGCGACTCCAAGCTCACGCGCATCCTGGAGGACAGCCTGGGGGGCAACTGTAAGACCACCATGATGTGCATGGTCTCCCCCGCGCTGGAGGCGTTTGCGGAGAGCCTGTCGACGCTCAAGTTTGCCAACAGGTGCACCTGGCTGATTCTGGCGCCTGCTCAACTCGCCTGCATCTCTGCCCGCCGCGCCGGTTCTGGCTGCTGCGTGCTGTTCAGTCGGCACTCAGCTTTGGCTTCGCATTGCCTGGCGCACGACATGAGGCCTGTGTTGATTGCGATCGAGCAAACATAATTTACAACATTTTAGAAACAATCTCGCCCATCTCGCTGCATGCTGCCTGCTGCCTGTCACCCTCTCTCTCCCCATCGTCCGCCCCCCCAGGGCCAAGAACATCAAGAACCAGGCGGTGGTCAATGAGGACCTGGACCAGAGGACACTGCTGCGCAAGTGAGGGCGCCCTCCCGGCCGCAGGGGCAAGTTGCATCGAGCCAACAACTTGCTGCCAGCCCCGATCCCCGTCAACGCCGCTGCCATGCACGCTGCACCCTCGACCCGAAACCCTGGCCCCACCTTTCTCTTGCGTTGCCGTCTCACCAGGTACGAGCGGGAATTGCGCAAGCTAAGGGCCGAGCTGCAGCGCCGCAGCAAGGAGCTTGTGGACAAAAGAAGGCTGCTCGAGGTGTGTCCTGGTGGATAGGTGGTGATGTAGGTTTCGGGTGACTGGCCCCTGCCTCAAGCTTTCATGGTGTGTTGGTGTCTGAGAAATGCATGCGTCGAGGCGCCACTCCCTGAGCAGCCCTCGCGCCTCGTCCCATTCCTCAGGTTGAGGAGCAGAAGCGCCAGGCGGAGAATGAGAAGCTGGAGGTGCTCAAGGTGCTGGAGGCGCGCAGCAGGGAGTTCATGAGGGAGAAGGTGAGTGCGGCTGGGCCAACATGGTCACACGGTGTGTCTCAAGTGTTTGGAGGGGTACAGCCGGCTGCGACTGGATGCACAGCAGTATTGTAGAACTGGAGTCAACACGTGATGCAGTCAGTGCCGCAGGGCGACGAGCCCTGTTCCTCTCCCCGATGGCCCTGCATGAGTCTGACACACGGGGGTTTTGCGTCAAGCCTGGTGCTCATCACCACCACTTGCCCACTGACCTTCAGGAGGAGAAACGGCAGCTGGAGGCTAAGATTGCATCGATGCAGGGGCAGCTGCTCATCGGAGGCACCAAGCCCGAGGACTCGCCTACCTTCAGAACGCTACTGGCCAAGGTGTGAGGAACAAACAGCCGGCTTGAAGCAGCAGCAATCCTGGTTCTGTGTCGGTCTTGGTACTTGGGGCACTCTTCCCAAGTTGGTTTGGCAAGCGCGTCCGCCAACATTGCTTCCAAAGCCCTCATTCCCATGCGACCTGCGCCTCACGCGCAGGAGCACAAGCGCATCCGCGGGGAGTATGAGAGTCGCCTGCGGGAGCTAGAGGCAGAGCGGCAGCTGTTTGAGGAGGACCTGGCGCAGGTGATACGCAGCTGGGGAGTTTGATGGGGTGGGGTTGATTGTCATGTGGCGTAAGAACATCTCAGGTGTGAGCATAGCAGCGCATGAGGCGTTCCGTTGCACCAGGCCAAGGGCGACATGGTGAGTGTGGCCAAGGGATCATGCAACGTGTGACCACAAACCAACACATATCACTCCAGGTTGACCGCTACAAGCAGCTGCTGCTGAAGCAGCGGGACATCATGATCGCCCTGACGGCGCGCCTTAACGAGAGGGACGAGCAGATCATGACGCTGCAGGTCGGCGGGGGCTGGCCGAGGGCCGAAGCTTGCACCTTGGCAGATCAGGGCTTGGTGGATGTAAACCGTCGCGCAACGACGTATGAGATGGCCGGCGGCGTGCACCTATCAAATCCTCAACTGCGGCTCTGGCCCCGTGCTTGCCGTTGACCCTTTGGCACCGCCCGCAGGAGGAGCTTGAAGCCTACGACAAGCACCAGCGCCTGCTGGAGGACCAGCTGGACGGCAAGACTGCAGAGCTCATAGGTGCGCTGCGATACTGCACAGCGCCGCACGCACCATATATTCCTGGCATACCTGGGCTGCGTGTGTTCGCGTGGTGGTGGGCAAGTCATCGATGCTTTTGGAGTACGCCAAGGCACACACATCACGACCGCCTTGTCATCTTTGCAACAACAGGCCTGAGGCGTGCGGCACTGGAGGCGGAGGCAATGCGAACACGCAGCGGCACGCTGCTGGGCACTGACGCAAGCAGCAGCCAGGTGCGTTAGCCTGCTTGGATGTTTTTTGTGGCTGTATTGCAGGTGCAACCCTTGAGTGCAACGCCATATTGATAACATGTGGGAGCGAACCAAGAGACCTCAACAAACCCATTGCATTCACCCTCCTCCCTCCTCTGCCTGCGGTGTCCTGTTGCTTAAATACACAAGGACGACGCGGCCTCTCTTCAGCACCAGGTGCGGGCACTGCAGCTGGAAAACGCAGAGCTGCAGGCTGAAGTGCAGCAGCATGCCCGCCGCGCGAGCGGAGCGAGCATTGGCTCACTTGCCGCCGTGGTCGCGGCCCAGCAGCAACAACAGCAGCAGCAGCAGCAGCAGCAGGCCATGGCAGCCGCCCAGTCACAGGCGGTAGCAAGCGTGCCGCACGGTCCAGAGGTGTCGACGCTGCGCAGCCAGGTCGCTTTTGCAGCAAAAGAGAAGGCCGCACTCCAGGCCATCTTGGAGGACAAGGTGCTACCTCTGGCTCAGCAGCTGTCCAAGGGTCTGTCAGATGCAATGGACGGCGGCAGCGGGACAATCTTTGCACACCGTGCCGGCGGCGAAGGCGGCGAGCGTCTGCAGAGGCAGGTGACAGCATTGCAGCGGCTATTGGCAGCGACAGTCGCAGCAATGGCGCGAGGTAGCCCGAGCAATGCAGGCGGGACGCCGCTGCAGTCAAGCGGCGGTGCTGCAGTGCAGTAGCCACCCGCTCTGGCGCTGCCCTGAGAGCTGGGGCAGGCCCTGGGTCCCGCTCCGCTGTGAGACTATCACGGTGCAGCTTGGCAAAAAGAACCCGCTTTTCGTTTGAAAATGGCGAGTGCATGACGCGCCGGGGGGCGAAGAGAGGGGGCCGCGAGTGACCCACTCACCTCCGCTGCCAGATGGTGTGAGAGCACCTCCAGTAAGGCAGGACCATGTCGACTGCTGCTTGCCGGGGTTTAACAGGGCACAAGTCGTGGATGGCCCCAGAGCCGTCGTGTTCTGCTGTTTATGTATTGACCGGGCACTGACACGAGCGTTACGTGGCATTGAACCGTGGGTGTTGGCCGGGCTGGGCTTTACAGAGCCGTCACACATGACGTAAGATTGCACTTCTTTTCCCTGCTGGGCGCGCCATCCATCCTGCTTTCGTCAACCAGGATTGGGAGCTGCGGCTGTCGAGTGCGCGTCTGTGCATCCACGCGTGCGCAAGGCGCACCCATGCCGCCGTGCCGCCCTTGATCATGGCTGGTTTTTGGACCTGCAATCTTCTCACATCAAGCACTGGCGGCCGATGCCCGACCCCTCCGATGCTGGACCCCTCTTTCAAGCCATAGAGCGCGTTTCCGCATAGACGGCACGGGCCCATGCTCCGGCTACGCTGTTGCAATAGCAGTGACCCCACCGCGTGAGCCCTGTGCCTGCTCGCACGCCTTGTTTTCTGCCACGTTACTGGCAAACGACTCGAGGCCCTTGCTGATGCCACCCCTGCTTTGCTGCACTCACAGTAAGCGCCACTGACAGCTGCTGGCAATTACACAGGCTTGCCCTTCAAACAAAATGCGTGAACAGTTGGATCATCGGCGTAGTGTTGCTCTTCAAACACGTTAATTCATCAGTGGAGCTGGCGCACGAGAGTCTCTCCTGGTCCCTGGATTGCACCAAAGCTCACCTAAGCCAGTTTGTGGCCCCAAGGCATGAAGACACGCCTGCCCTGTGATCAAATGCCCGCTGTTGATACTTCAGGCGAGTCATATTTCAAACCTTCAACGATGAAAACAGACGAAGGCACAACTGCAATATTAGATACACACCTTGCAGCACGTCGGCGGCTGGTCGGCGGGTTCTGTGTGCCGACCCGCCCGGCAGCGCGGGGGTACAGCTCTTGCATCCTTCATACCATTTAAGGCTTACGGGGGACCTAACACCGGTGTTTTATATGCTCAGTTTTCCATTCTGGTCGTACACGCTGCTCACAGTGCACATTTCTAGTACGGGTGTGGCCGGACTCCGGGCCCGTCGCAGCCAAGCGGAGCCGCTCAAGGGTGTGTAGGCAAGCAAAGTTTCTAGGTGAGTCTTCTACGAGTGCCCTTCGACGTTTCAGCAACGACCCTTGCGGCAGCCCGTTTTGCTGCCTCGTGCTGCCTGAAGAAGCGCCAAAGGGATTTAGAGGGTTGTCTAGCATCTCAGCCTCGCCTGCAAGCTTCCTCGGGGTTTTTGTCAGTCCAGGTGGCGAGTTCCAGTGTTCCATCCCGCGGCATCGCACGCACTCACTAGGTATTACACGAGTTTATAGCTGTTGCGAAGAAGGACTTTCGCGTTCCTGTGGGGCGTGGCATGGCTGCGCCACGCGCCAGCGCTCGCAGCCCTTGATGCAACTCGCCAGCGGCAGCGGCACAGCACGTTCGTGACCCTCTCACGGCGCCCCTCAGCAGCAGAGGGTGGGCCTGAGCTTTTATAGGCTCTGGTTGTTGCCTGTGGTGCTGGCTATGGACGCCGCATGGTTGCCTCCCGCCAACACGGCAGATTCCCCAGCAAGCCCCTTCATGACAGCCGGCCCGTCAGCAGGAGCGGCCATGGCAGCCGAGGCCGCAGCCCACCCACTTACACCTCAGCTAGGTGAAGAGCGCCTGCCCCAGGGCGCTTCTCGCCTCAGCCGTGGCAGCGACAGCAACAGCGCCCGCATCAACGGGGGCGCCCCTGGCGGGGATGCTTTGAGCCGTGGAGGCAGCAGTCGTGCGCCGGTTTCGGCGTCGATCTACAGCAGCGTGTCTCTGCAGTTGCAGCAGCTCGCCGCACACCAGCGCAGCTTATCTGGCCCATTCAGGTGGGCGCTGCCACCTTTCACACTCCAGCCTTGCCTGCCCTGGGAAGGTCTTGCCCTGTCGCTACACTGGTCCGGCTTGCCATATTTTGTCGCATTGGATGCTTGCAGTGCTGAAGCAGTTGCTTGCAGGCATGACGGCCAGGTTGCCCATCCCTTCTATACGCATTGCGGCACCCTCTGCAGGGCGCTGCGTGCTCTAGCTGAGAAGCAGCGGCAGCTGGCAGTCGCGGCGTTGCGCGATATCCAGGACCACAGCCGGGCAGCCGAGGCGGCTGCCCTCGCAGCCGGCGGCAAACAGCTGCAGAAGCAGGGGTCTGTGGGCTTGCGGGAGCCCCTGTCACCCAAGTCCTCTGCGTCGTATGTGTCGGAGCAGCTTGCCGCGCACCACAGCGCGCTTGGGCAGCTGGAACAGCAGCTCGCCAGCACGCGCGCCGAGCTGGCTGCCGCGCACAAGCTTAGTGCCGAAGCCGAGAGTGGTTGGCGCGAGGCGCGCCTGGAGGTGGCGTCACTTCGTGAGACGCTGGCTCAGCGCGAGGAGAGTCTGCTGGCCAAGGAGGAGGAGCTCACCCGCATGGGCCTCGTGTCGCCCGTACGCGGCAGCGGCAGCTACAGCGGCAGCTTGCCGGGCCCAGGGCCCGTGTTCACGACGCCTGTGGCTGGTCAGGTGCAGCAGCTGAAGCAGTGGCTTGACGAGACTCAGCGCGAGCTGATGAACACCCAGTCTGACCTGACAGACAGCGAGGCGGAGGTGAGAGAGCTGGTGGGGCGGCTGGCGGTCGCAGAGCAGCAGCTGGCGGCCGCCACGCTGCGCATCGACGCCTTGCAAAGCCAGCAGCAGCAGCAGCAGCAGCAGCAGCAGCACACGCAGGCGCAGTTGCAGCAGCCCGTGAACCTGCAGGAAGGTCAACCAGACGAGCGGGGCGCGCACCTTGAGAGGGAGCTCCTAGCGGCGCGGACGGCGGCCGAGGCATCTGCAGTGGAGGCGACAGTGCTGCGTGACTGCTTGCGTGCTGCTGAGGCTGCCACAGAGGCAGCTGGTGGGCATATGGCGCTGCTCCGCGAGCAGCTCACTGCCGCAGAGGGCGCACATTCTGCAGCGGCCGACGATGCCGCAGCTGCGTCACGCCGTGCACTTGACCTGTCCCAGCAGTGCGAGGAATTCGAGGGCCGCGAGGGGCGGCTGCAGCAGGAGGCGGGGGATCTGCGGCGGCAGCTGGCAGAGGCCGAGGGTGCGCGCGCTGTGCTACAAGGGGAGGCGGCCGACGCGCGTGCCCAAGCAGCAAAGTCGGCTGCGGCGCTCGATGCCGCTCTGCAGCAGCAGCACCACCAGCAGCAGCAGCAGCAACAGGAACTGCACGGCGCGACGTCTGGCGCAGAGGACGGCGCCGCCGCCTCTGCACAACCGTCTCGTCCTGCCGATGGCAGCTCCCAGGTGGAGCTTGCTGCTGCTGCTGCCGAGTCGCACGCGCTGCGCGCTGAGCTCGATGAGACGCGGCGACGGCTCGCTGCGCTGCTGCAAGCGGCTCGCGCGTCTGCCAGTGAAGCCGCGTTGTCGGTCCGGCCCCAGGGCGACTCTGACGTGGCCGCAGACCTAGGTTTCCTGCAGTGGCTGGCTGAGGGGCTGGAGGACAGGTACACCTCTGAGCCGCGGCTTCAGGTGGGCGGTGTTGAGCGATGGGCGTCCGGCATCGATGGTGACTGCAGGCCCATGCATGGGTGAGGAAGGCTCGCATCGCCTAGAAGACCAGGCCCCTTCTGTAGCTTGGAGCCAAACCGGCATCCCCCCAGCGCTTGCTGTTTTATACACAGCTTGTGCAGCCACCCAACCGGCGCTCGCCCGTTGTCGCTCCACCATGCTATGACAGGCGCTGCTGCTGCGCGGGCGCGAGGTTGGCGCCCTGCTGGAGGGCGCTCTACAGCAGCTGCACGACCTCAAGGGCGGCTGCTCCTGCCCAAGTGACAGCCAGTACGCCGCAGAGCTGCTGCGCGAGGACTGCGGCCCCGCTCACCAGCACCAGCCGCCACCCAGCACGCAGCCACAGCAGGCAGCCACGGTGGGCAAGCGCGCGGCACAGGGCGACACGGTCCTGCGTGTGTCGCTGCCATCGTCGCCCAGTTCTAAGCAGCAAAGGTGTTCCACCCCCACTGCATTTGAGAAGTACGAGGCGGAGGTGCAGCTTCTGGAGCGGCACGAGCAGTGGGCGCAGGCGCAGCAGCAGGAAGCGCCGCACGCCCTCGCAGCTGCCAATGGCGTCGGCTTTGAGGTGCCCCAGCTGGTTCTGTGGCCGCAGCTGGACCAGGACCGCACCAGCGGCAGCGGCGGCTCAGCACACACTGCGGCGGCCAAGCCGCAGTCAGCGTCGTCCGCCGGGCCCGGGTCTGGTCTGCCGGATTATGGGTACGGGGGCCTGGACGACGCGTGGTGGGCGCGGCCCTCAACCACGGTCGAGCCCGTGACTGACCTGCCAGACTTTTTGAGGGTCGGCCCCGTTGATGTGAAGTAGAGTGGGTGCCGCCACCGCCACCCCAACAAACGCCCCACGCGGCAGCAGTGCACCGTTGCATGGTTGCTGCGTGGTTTTTGGGCGGCGATCAACCTCGCGGCACGCCGCAAGTGCATCCTCGCAGCGAGTACATTCCCGCATAAGTACATTCTTGCTTGCATTTCTGTCAACCTGATGCCCTTTCTTTGTCGTTGCGCTTGCACGGGCCAAGAGTGCCAAGGAACAACTCACCGGATTCACCCACCTGGCTCGCTGAGCGAAGCGGCTTGCGCGTGACGGTCGGCACTGCGCTCCCTGGTGCTGTACATGAGCACAGTGCGCGCTCTGCACAATACCTCACCGCCAGGTGGGCACCTCGGCAACTGCGCCGTGGTATAAATGAGAAGTAGGGGACTGTGCATGGGGGTCCACCCCAGAGAGAGTGGCACGTTGTACGATTCTTACCTTGGTGTGTAACAGATCTGATTGGCCACCATACCTTCACAGTCCAACGCCGACACCAGGCGCCTCTCCCCGCGCTCCTTTACAAGGCAGCCCCCCCCATCAAGCAACAAGCACATTGCCCGGATGCTGTTGAGCGACAGCATCGCACGTATCAACAGCAGACCAAACGCTGGGGAGAAGCTGGGTGTCATGATGACGAGGTGGCATCAGCAGCGTCAGTTGCCACTGGAAGCTTCCTAGCGCTGTACTCACCTGCACACTGTGAATTTTGAAACTCTATCATTCACAAACATTGAGTGACCAACCAATTGGTCTACATTAGCACAGTCTTGAGATACCCTGTCTGTCCCACACTGCCGACAGTGACTCACACCTCCCTCCCAAGAGGCGCCACCCAGATCGCAGCCATGTCCACCCCTGTGGCCATCCCCGCCTTCAATTTGCTGGCACAGCCCATCCAGGATGTTCTTACTGGCAGTGCGCGTGTCGGCGGTGCCTTTGCGACAAAGGAGAATCGAGTCAGCATCAGTTGAGCACTGCGGCCACGAGCTGCCGCCGCCGCCTCGTGTGTCGCTGCAGCTGCGCGCCTGCGGCGCCTCGGCGTGCTTGCCACTCCCTTACATCTTCTTGTACCGGGGTAGCCGCGCACTGCAATAGCTAATGCCTCACATGCAGGACTTGACAGCCGTGATACCCTGTGTCCAGGCATGTGCGCCGTTCCGGCATTGCTTCACACTCCTCATCTGCCCCCGCTGCCGCAGACACCGTGACTGCTGATGGGATTATTCTGTCCGCCCAGGCGCTGGGCGCCACACCCTCCACTGCCAGCACCACGCTCAGCGTTATCCACGCGCCCGCCAAGGGCCTCGTGCTCTCCAGCATCCTGGGCAGCGGCGGCGCCACGACGCTTGGGGCCACGCTGACGCCCGCCAGCGTCCCGGGCCTCACGGCCTCCCTGTCTGCAGACCCCTTTGCCGCCGCGTCGGCCAGCCCCGGCAGCGACGCGGCGCTGTCCACCCTCAAGGCCTCGGTGGACTATGCACCGCCCGGTGGCCTCATGCACTTCCGCGCCTCCGCGGGCGGCGGTGCGGGGATCGACGTGTCGGCCGTCTTTGCCGCGGCCGGCCCCACGCTGCTGATCGGTGGCTCTGCAACGATTGGCGCCGCAAGCGCCAGCGGCGGCAGCGTGGCGGCGGCGCTGACGGGGTGGTCGATTGGTGGTGCCTGGAGTCGGATGGTGGAAAGCAAGGGCGACGGCCCCGCATCGCGCCAGCAGGTGTGATGCATCATTTGGAGCCCTGCAGGGCAGAGCGCTTCAGAAACTTGCCCTGCAGCTGCCCTGGCAGGCTGGCGCGCTGCATGCACAGCAATCCGCCGCGCCCCATCGCCCACACGTGCGGCCCCCGTCCCTGCCGCAGCTGACGGCCACGCTGACAGAAGCAGGCACTAGCAAGGGCCGCAGCCTGGGGATCATGGCGGCGCAGCAAGTCGGGGCCTCGGGGCGCACTACGGTGGCGGCCGACTGTGTCCTGCCCCTCAGGGCCGCCAAGGGCGTGGAGACAGGTGCGCAGGCAGCTGTGGGGAGGCAGGGGTGAGGGCAGTGCTGCGCATGGTGCAGTATGTCGTGCACATGTACTCATAGGTTTGGGGCTTAGAAGGCATGCAGGTTGCTGCCATGGCCAGCGTGGCTATGAGGAGACGGGTTGTCCCTGTAAAAGTCCTGCCCTAAGTGGCAACCTGCTCGCCCGCAATACGCTGCATGATCTGCAGGCCCCAGTGCTGTGGGATCTGTGGCGTTGGCGGTGTCCCACCGCCTGGACACCGGCGGCCTGGCCAAGGCCAAGGTGCGCCTCGCAATGCGGGCCTACGCAGCCACACAGCCTGTGTAGGGCCCGGCACGCCACTCAGGTTGAGCCACCCACACCTGCCGTATTTGACGACGCAGCCGGTCAGTGTCGGCACCCAGTGCGCAAGAGCGCTGGAAAGTACCAAGCAGGATCCCGACCATTGTCCCCTTGCCATCCCCTCCAACACCTCAGGTGTCCCACGATGGCGCCATCAGCCTGCTGTACGAGGCGCGCATTCAGGTGGGTGCTGCGCTGCTGATCTGCCTCCTGGGCAGCCGGGTCGAGCCGGTTTCACAAACGAAGCGCTTGGCAAGTTGCTCCAGCAGTATGGTGACAGAGTGATCCAACGCATGAATCACAGCAGACACTGGCTGCTGTGAACCTGCAACACACGCGTCTGACGCCGCGGCCCTCAACAACACTAAGCATTCACATATCTCACACTCAAACATGCAGGAGGCCGTGCGCCTGGGTACCACGGTGCACCTGGATCCCTCAGCTGGCTTTGCGCCGCGCCTGGGGATCTCGGTTGACCTGTCCCCATGATTGAGGGGCCAATGCACCGTGTGCCCCCATCCAGTCATGGCGCCAAGCCTTGCGTGGGCTCCTCTACTGCTAGAGTCGAGGGAGAAGGACGGGGTCGTGGCGAAATGTGAATACAAGTGGTAAATGAGCCAGTCCCAACATTCCCTCTGGCATAATGCATGCCCACATTTGGCGCCTATGCTTTCGGGCTGCAACAGCTCTTGCAGGTTGCCAAGAGAGATCGTTGCGGTGGAGCAGGGACAGGGACAGGGACGTGTGATGCAGGAGGGGCTGGGCAGGTGACTGTTTGTCCCAGTCGCGCGCTCCTTGATAGCTGATCAGCTGGTAAGAAAGTGACCAAACGAGGTCACCTATATAAATTCATGATTGCATCTGGCTGCATCACAGAAACCTTCAGTGCCTGGCAGCCTGGCTCAAGAAGCCGCGCCGCATCAGCAGCAGCTGACTGCCACGCCCAGCAGGTTCATGACAAAGATGTGATATGCGAGGCATGCCGGCAAGTGAGCTTGGTGCGTATGTTTGCTTACACCATACAGCTGCGTGTTTCTATGTTTCAGCAAATCTGCATGAGGTCAGTATTACGGTAGCTTTCAAGCTCGCGCGCGTGATCTTTGAAGCTTGCTGTCGGTTACCGAACTATGGATCTACGACACACCAGCAACATGGCATTGCGTAGCCCGGGTGCGATCGTGAACAATCCACGACATGGCAGGACACGCTGCCAGCGCACCTGGCCCGGCAGGGCCCCTTGATGGTGCCTCTTGCCGCTCACGCACTGCAACAAAGCACGCTGCTCTGCCATTGCCCTTGGCGGTGGTTGCGCTGTCGAAATTGCTGGAGAAGGCGCCAATCAATGCCCATCGGCATACCGGGGTGCCGTGCAGGCCTGCCGTTCAACAACGGGTGCCTTAGGAGCGTGCGTGCGGGCAATCTGGCAGCCGCATCAGCACGCCTGGCCCCTGCCCCGCTTGACTACCAAAGCTGCGTGGAGCTCTTGAGATCAACCCCCCGTCCCTCTGCCCTACCTCCGCCAGGGCCTGGGCCTCATCCCCGGCCCCCCATCCTCCAGCACATCGCAATCTCCGTGATGCCAAGCAATCAGGCGCGTACGCTTCACGCACAAGGACGGCCCCGCGACCATGCGGGCCCACACCATGCGCCTCACACTGACCGCTGACAACAATCCGGGTGTCATGCATGGCAAGGCCCTGGACGGCAACAACAGCTTGCGCACAAAGTGGTGCTCTGTGCACGGGGCAGCTGCCAGCCGCCCTCAAGCTGAGTGGCAGGGACAGGCGAGCAGCACAGTGCGCCAGCACGGACGAAAACGCGCAGCTTAAGCGATGGCTCAATTATTGGAGGGCCTCAGAGGTATCAGGGAGGTAGAATCCGGTGGCTGCCTCGTTGTCACGGCGCGTGGGCAGGCAGCCGGTGTGAGGGCCGGGTTGGGGGCGGGCCGGTGTTGCACATGTGTGGGGCACCCTGCTCAGCAGGCAGGCGGCTACGGGGCCACACGGCTGCCCCTGGTTGATGGGAGACCAAGCCGGTCATCTGCAGCTTGCCACGACCCGGGTTTATTCCCGTTGCAGGACCCCCACACCAGAAATGGTGTCAACCCTGAGCAAACTGATCCCCTCACACCACGCTCCATTTTACCCCACCCCAGGCTGTCCTGCGTTTGCTCTTCTCGCAGGGCCTCGGCCTCGCGCGCGCCTGACCTGCCTTGCGTTGGGCCTGCCACGAGAATCTTGATTGCGAGGGTCACCGTGACTCTGGTTACGACAACAGCTGCGCCGACGGCGGACCTGACCGGTACCTTAACGCCGACAGGCGGAGGGGCGGGAGGACGCACAACGCGAGGCGCAGACGGCCAACGCCAGAGAGCGTTCTATGGTGGCTGTAGCAACGTTCGTTTGCAGCGGCGCACCCTTGACCCAAACCTGAACCCTAAACCCAAGTATCCAAGGGTCACTTGCTCGGGCACGGCCGCGGGCGAGCTCGGTGGGAGGACGCTGCATGCGGTCAACAAACGGGGGGTGCATAACGAATGGGACAGGCAGGGGGCATGGACACCCTAGGCCCTACGTCCGTGTAGTTTCCAGGGAGGTTCAGGACTCCGACTAATCTGGTCGTCTGGTGGCGGCCGCAGTACTTTGCAAGATTGTATGCTTGCTGCCTGCTACATCAATTAGTCAGTATTGTGCCATTGTCATGTGAGCCTTGGACCTGTTTTACAATCCTTGACAGGGGTTTGTCCACACATGCATCCTGCTGGTGAACGCCATGCGGGTCCCCTGTGCCACAGGTGCCTCAACCGCATGATCAACCGCCACACTGCCTGGTCCAATACCTACGAACCTATGTTTCGTACATATTGGTCACTTCTTGTATGGGTGCGCAACAATACTACGAGTAAATCCTGTGGCCAGCAAAACCAACACCTGTGTTACACAGCAGCTTTAGTACAGAGGGACCGGCATCCGTCTCATGCAACAATTTCCGCATAAAACAGCGCATGCCCTGAAATCAGCTGTGAGCCCTCAACATCAACCCCTCCATCCGTCCATTGACCTGACAGACTGCCAGGAAATGGAGGCAAGCCAAGATAACGCCTGGCACCAAGCAGGCTCTGTGCCTGTTTCAAGCCGCGGAGAACAACTGGTGGGTGGCACTCTTCAGACGCCTGTCGCCAGTGGTGGAGTAGCGCAGTACCCAGCGCGCCAGTGAGCCGCATCTGTATTGGGCAGCCGTTTGCCGGCAGGGGTTGACAGCTGCATTTTAGCAGGTAGGTGTTGTGAAGTAGAGCCACATACCTTGCCACATCCGTTGCCAGTTGTTTGATGCGCTGGCAATGAAGGGACTGGAAAGGGGCAATGCATGCTCACACCACACATTATATCTCCAATGCGCACATATTGCGCTTGCGCTGTTACGAAGCACGCATGCGCATGCAACTGCACAAATGCACAGGTGTACATGCATGCACACACATACAGCAATCATTTGCCCCTTGAAGCCCGCTCACGGCAAGATGACGCCAGCCTCAAAGATAGCGTCTGCACCGGCGGACGCCAGTGGAGCAAGTGAAAGAGGTGTGCGGGTGTACGCGCCCGAGCCTGGGTAGCAGATCTCAGTGACCTGCCAGGGCCGTGTGATACACCCATGAGGGCGCAGATAGGGGCCAGGTGCCAGATGCAGGATGAGGAATGGCGGGAACGGTAGGTGGGGTTTTGCAGGTGATGTGTGCGTGAGCCTTTACAGTTTCAGGGCGCACTTGGCAACGCGTTGAATGCATGCGAGCTTGCGATGGGTTATACATTGTTGGTCGGCTCATTGCTGGCTGCTGAGGTTGCACTGCAAGGTAAACCACCGATCATATCACCTGTGCAGATTGCACGTCGCCAAAGCTCGCTGTCGGCGCCGCCCACCACCAAAAGTTGTCGTGGCTGCCGCCCGACCCGCTGATTGTGTCCGCGTCAACGCGCTGCAGGACGGATCCCTCCTCAGAGTAGGCAAAGGTGGCCGAGCGACGGCGCAGCAGGTGCGAGCTGGACGACGCAAACCAGGCGTCAATGCAGGGGGGGCTGCGAAGGGATGGTGCGCCAAAGTGTAAGCCACAAATGAATGGCGGCAGTCTATCTCATCATTCTGTTTATGATATCGTTGCAGATAAGGTATGCCCTGTAGTGAGCGGAAGATATGCGCATGATACGGTAGACAGAATTTGCTGCATACAGCAGATGGAAATTGCAACCATTTGAACGGTGGCCCACGGCCGCACCATGCACGCGGTGCCGGCGGTGGCAGTTGTTCTTTGGAGAACGCGTCCCTTATGTCGTCTATGTGTGGCAGCGAGGCCTCCCACGAGTGGCGGGTGTCCAAGAGGGCACCGGTGACTGGGCAGTACTTGAGCTTCACACTCCAGCGCTCACCGCAGGGTCCCGGCATCTGCGGCAGTGGTTCAGCCAGGGCCTGAGCATGCACACTGGATAGACACTGTCCTGGAAGGAAACGATCACAGGCGCTGCGCAGGTGCATGTGAGATGACACGGCCGCATAGCTGAGGACCCCGCCGGATGAATCTCCCTTGGCGTTGACAGAAAGCCGGATGGTGCGTGGGCAGGTGTGTGCACTGCACAGGCTTCCGGGCGCACCCGCAGCAGGGGCGTGGCGACCCATGGCTTGGGCGTCGAGGTACCATCGGACTTCTCGCTTCTGTTGCCCTGGCCCTCCGTGTTGGTGTGGCTGTTGTCATGGCCGACGGCACTGCTGCTGCTGCTGCTGAAGTCTGGCAGGCCGGGTGGAGCGGTACAGAATCTGCAAAATTTGGAGAGGGTCACCAGGGGCGAGGGTGATGAGTGGTAAGTTGGCAAACGCACGCATCCCACATTTTTTTGCAGCATTCAACGGCAGTCTGCCGTTCGGCTGCTTTGCCTTTCACGGCCCAGCTTACCCATAATGCTCCACTGCCCATGTGCGCATAGTGGCCCCCAGGTCACCAAGCTGTGCTGCAATGGTGGGCTGCAAAGGTTTGGTTGATGAGGAGCACCGTGGTTCACAAT